AAAGAAAAAAAGAAATGTAACTTATGTATCTGACAAGGTCAGTCACATCCCCTCAGGATTTACCATAAAACTCTGTATCACAGTTTGCACATCCTTTGTCAGTGTCAGTCATGTGGATGAGTCATGGCCATTGTTTGACCAATTTGCTCTCTGTGAAAGCCTGAGAGAATATTTTTTCTCTCCATATGACTCTCTGTAGGCACATTATACATCATTGACCACTTTCCTCTGTGCCCCATAATCTCCTTGATCAGAAATTGAGTTACATGATGTTAAAGTATAGATTCTCCTATGTCCTGAGTCTTCACTGACCTTGAAAGGCTAGGGCCAAAATGTTGGCTGTCCTTGTAGCCCTTCTTTTTCTCTAATTTTTGGTCTGCAAACTTAGGTTGTTAACCCTCCAGAATAGAAGCTAATTATTATTACCATACAACATAGCTAGTTGAGCTTAACCTCACTTTGTGTCTGAATATTAAACATCTTAGGCATAACATGAAACAGGTATTTTTATCAAGTATTGATATGTTAAACTCTAAATCCTTACAGGATATGACTTTTGTCAATTTATTTTTCAGAGAGTACTCTTTATTTTCATTGCTGTGATACTATTTTGTAAAATTTTGGTAGTAGGCAGCTATTTCACTGCCATTAGAGCCTCTCTCTGAAGAATCTGATATTTAGGTATCTCTTCTGTGTCAGAGATTGTTTTGTGTGTGTCTCAAGATTTTGTCTTCACTAATGATTGAAAGTGGTTTCCGTTTTGCACTGTCCTCCATCCTCTGGTACAGGGCATTGGTGACATTATGACCTAAGCAATATTATTAATCAAGGGAGTACACGCAGTTAAGGCAGATATGGTGTCCTAGTTACAGTAGCACAATTAGCAACACTAATAACAGCAAATAAAATTTGAAAATTTAAATTCAAATTTAAAATTTGAATTTTGGTAACTAATGGATTTGTATTTTAGAGTATATGAGCAATCACTATAGCTGTATAACAAAGCAGGTTGTAAATTGAAAGGAGTTCCACTGAGTTCCATCTGGGCTCCTCCCCTTCATGTTTCTGGAGTTTTCCAGGCAGACTAGTTCACCTATGTTCCCACCTGCCACAGTGATCCTCCCCTTAGGTCTGGGTCACGGTATGCTTCAGCTCACAGGCCCAAGCCCAGATCTAAGCTCTCCTCCTGAGTGCATGCCTTTTGAAATCAGTGTGCTGGGTGTGGCCACAAGCCTTTGTTCCCCCTTGTTACTAAACTTGACTGACCAGGCCTGGCCTCCATCATATTATCTTTTTGAACTGATGAAGGTATCCAGAACACCTTTGGACAGAACTCATTATAAGTATAGTGCAATGTGGATGATATTTTCTATCAGATTGAGAAAGTTTGACCCTTTCTATTAGTTTCATATGAATTTTAGTCATGAAAATGTGCCCATATTTGTCAAATCTCCCTTGAATCCACTGGTAAAGGTACAAATTGACATTTTCTTCACTAAATATGCATTTCATAAGATATAGTTATATATATATGATCTGTTACATAGTGTTCATGACTCCTCTGTATTAATATGGAGTTTTAGTAGTTTTCTGCCTCAGAATTGTCTTGAAAGATTTTTTGTATCAAAATGATACTAGCTGCATTAAATTGAGAAAATTGTTCTAATGTGGGTCTATTTACATTTACATTTTTCTGCACTTGCTTATTGGTATTTTTGAGATGCTGAATATTTATAGTTAAGTACAATATATTTTAAATGAAAAATGTAAAATATCAGACCAGACAATGGTTATTATATTCCAGAAAGGACTTCCCTCAACGTGGAAATCAGGATGAAGTTATAATTCTGGCTGTGCTTCAGAACTATGCGGGAACTAAATGCAGTGAGACATTTGATATGGGCATTGATTTACCTTCTTAGGCTTCTGCCATCTCTGTAGCTCTGAGAATAGTTTTGTCTTAACACTTTTCCAATGCTCAATGGGTTTTGCAACTTACAGTGAAATAGTTGAACTATTGAAAGGAAACAGCCTCCAACTCATATCAATGTACCTTGCAAAAGCACCGTTCAAAATCAATGGACAAATAAGATACTTTCATGACAAATACTCTAGATGCTATAATACAATCTACTGATTCCTCTTGAGGCCACGACATAGAATTGTTAAAGTAAAAATAATAAAATGAAAAGTTGTACTTATATTGTAAAAAATAACAAGACAGGTAAGGTTTCAATTACAAATATCACCCCATAGAGATGATGGAAATGATGTTACCAAATGATACCGACCTGATGGTAGTGAAGACAACTTTCTAGAATAATCATTGCAGCCGTTTTCTTTTGTAATACAGCACCCACTCAGCAGAGAAATACAATGGTTACCCTGTCCCACTAGACTTTTTTTTTTTTTTTTTTTTTTTTTTTTTTTGCAGAACCAGGGATTGAAGTCAGGCCCTTAGGCTTGCCAGGCAAATGCTTATTCTACTGAGCCATCTCCCTGGCCCTCCACTAGACTCGATACATAATGGTTCCCTGAAATAATTTTCCCTTCAGTTTGTTGACCTTACCAAAGCATCTGGGCCAACAAGAATGTAAAATGTCCCTCAAAGAAAGAAGTAGAGCTAGAAAACATGTCAATGTCAAGCCACAGCTATATGTAGAAGATGGGCAAGGAAATGATCCAGAGAATCTCCAAAAGATTTTTGAATCTAGCAGTTAATGGGAAAGATTCTCACCCTGACTAACAATATATACTAACACCTGTGAACTAAGCAACTGCACTGAACTTGGTAATCTGTAATAGTAGGTTCATGCTTGGAGTGCCTGTCATTCTGGTCTTCTGAATAAGGGCTGCTAGTCATGACATGCCAGTTGCTGCTGTGCTGTCTCTCAGGTAGATGTTTGTTCAAAAAGAAGGAGGTGGTGAGTGAAGGCAAGAGGCAGGACAAGGAATATTGTGGGACTGTCCTGCTTCAAGGTTGTATATGGTTAGATTTTTGGACTTATGTGTAAACATGAGAATTATATAATTCTTTATGCCTATTTTTTAAAATATATTCTAATTTTTAAATGTTTTTTCACCATATTCTGTGGGGACTTAAAGTTCAACATATCAATACTTGATGAAAAATACCTGTTCCATGTTATGTCTAAGATGTTTGATATTCAGACAGATAGTGAAGTTAAGTTTAACAGCCTAAGTTGTATGGTAATAACAATAAGCTTGTCTTTTGGATGGTTGACAACCTAAGTGTGCAGACCAAAATTAGAGAAAAAGGAGGGTCACAAAGAAAGCCAACATTTTGGCCCTAGCCTTCCAAGATTAATTAAGACTCAGGACATATGAGAACTTGTACTGTAACATCATGTAACTCGGTAGTGTCCCAAATTTTCTGATCAAGGAGATTATGGGGCCAAAGAGGAAAGTGATCGATGATGTAGAGTGTGCCTAAGGAGAGTCACGTTGAGAGAAAACATTCTCTCAGGCTTTCACAGAGAGCATATTGGCCAAGCAATGGCCGTGACTCATCCACATGGCTACGCTGACAAAGGTTCTACAATCCGAGGTACAGGATCTCAGGATAAATCCTGAGGGGATTTCACTGACCTTATCAGATCCAAAAGTTAAACTCCTTGTTGCATAGGTCCTGCTTTACTTTGGTCTTAACCATCCAGCAGAAAAGTATAAAAACAAAATATAAGAAGTAAAACCATGGTGTTAGGTTGAGCTGTATGGGACTCAGGTCAACAATTTCTGACATTGCCAGTCAAGCAGAAGACCCAATACTATTATGGGCTTCTGGACTCTTTTAGGATATTTTGCTGAGTTTACACACCTATAATATTTAAATGATGGAACTTAATAAAAAAAGAGGATACAGATGAATGTCCATTTTGTATCTGTGTATTCAAAATGGTTAGGATACATATGTAGTTACATTCTCTTAATGAATAGAGGGATTTGTTCTAATGGTGCTTGTATTTGTAAATAGGATTTCATGTCTACATCTTGTACAGCAATTAACCACTAGAAAGAATGTATGCAATATGTTAATTATTGAAGCTGTCCTACCAATTTGGTTTGAAACTATCTCATTGCTATTTGTTTCTCAATAAAATTATGGAAAAAATAAATAAATAAACAGATCATCATTATAAAAAAAAAAAAAAACCTGCCTGGTAAAGTCTTATATTACATTTAGTAAATATGGGTTGAATGTCAAAGGATAAATAAAAATGCATAAGTTAGCCATTTAAAAAAATTAAAAAATAAAATGTCCCTCAAGGTGGGTTATGTGTGATTATTTTCTAAAGATGTGATTTTAGTTGTGATATTGACAAGAAAACTACATGGGACTGAATATGTAATATTGAAGCACATTGGTGGTGTGGAGACACCAAAATCACTTACTACTAATATTGGTTATGCTAATTTCCCCCTGTATAAGAGGACACAATCATTGCATAATTTTTCTTTTTCTTTTTTCTTTAAATTTCTGGTCCTTTGATATTTAATTAAAACTTATATGACTCATTAAGCTTGAAAACTTAAGCTGCACATGACAAAAACAGTTAAATAGTCATTGGTAGGTCTATTATACTTATCACAAAATGTATATTTAAGAATCTATATATGAGTCTATAACATTCTATTAAGCAAACTGCCATCTATGATCCACAATCAATCTTTGTGCATTTTTAACTCAGAGACAATTACATAACATTTAGGAAATTTTAATTTTCCAAATGTACTCACACAAAATCATCAGAACTATTTTTCAGGTAAAAAAATAGTTGCATGATCCACGTGCCACCAATGAACTCCCTACTGGTGAAGCGGCAGTCACCACAGCATGACTTTCCATGGCAGTGGCACTGTTCATGCATAGGCTCTTCGTCTTGGCATGAAGAACGCAAAAACAAGAAGGGACAAGAGCCACCACTCATTGTTTCCTTGACTCTTGGGTGTCTTCATTATGTGCTAAAAGCCTTTTTTCACTAAAATAGCAATTTTTATTCTGAAAGGTAATCATATGTTCCCAGTAGATATTAGCAACTTCCAACACGATCTCTAGGGATAATTCGCAGTTCTGAACCATGCTTCAGAAAAACATTTCCAGCAGTCTGTGTAGGATTTATTCCTATTCCATCATTGGTAATAATTGCACTTGTTGCTGCAGGCACTTTAAATTCTTCCGCAGCAAACTTTAAGACTGCTATGAAAGGTGTACTTTCAGGAACACTCAGTCCTTTGTACGGCAGCCGCGGGTCCAACGTCAGCGTGATCTTGAAGGACACCTTCGACATGGTGGCCTGCTGGATGGGCTGGACCCGGCGCGCCTGCATAATTTTTCTCACATGTAATTCGTAAAAAAAAAAAAAAAACTATGGTAGAATATTTTAAGATTATGTGAAATCCTTCATCTTAAATTGGTTATCTACCTTCTGGAATTAATCTGTGATCCTGAAAATGAGTTTTTATATATCCTGATGGCAGAGTAGCACTCAATTGTGTGTAAATACCATATTTTTTTCATCCATTAATCTGTTCATGTCCATACAGCCTGGTTCCAAGATGTAGCTATCTTGAGTTGTACTGATCTAAACCTGGGTATGGTATACCTATGTCTCTGTAATATGATGCCATCAACTCTTTTAGGAAAACACATAGAAGAGGAATAGATAGGCTAAATGCAATGTCTACATTTAATTCTTTGAGAAATTTGCATACTTATTTCCATATAGTTTTACTAGTTTATATTCCCACCAACAATACTGATAATTTCTTTAATTCTGCAGTAAAATCCACATTCGTGATTCTTAGATTTCTTGATGATGGACAAGAAATATCTTCTTATCTTCACTAATATCTCTTCTTTTTCTCATAAGAAGATATATTAGTGGTATTTTAATTTGTATTTCTCTAATGGAAGTGTCTAATAATTTTACTTGCACATTTATAAATTATGTAGTTTATTTAGGCTGTTGTAATATATTAGTTCTTTATATATTCCAAGTATTAGTATCCTGTCAGAAGAATACCTGGCAAAATTTCTTTCCCATTCTGTAAGTTGCTTCTTTACTCCATTAATTACAGATGCATATTTTTTGGTACCTGAAATTGTTCTGAGGACCTTGTGCTTGCCAGGCAGGCACTGTACCACTGAGCTATATCCTCAGCCCTAAAGATGCATAATTATAGAATGAACAGGTACTCTACACATTACACATTAGAATAAAGCTTCCATTGTTAATGATAATCCACATGAAATATATTAACATTAAAGAGATGAATCAGGGAAGCATCTGTGATAGACACGAGTGCCTATCAAACTGGGAGATAAGAAAGAAAAGAAGGGTCAGCATTTACGACACCAAGTACCCACCTGCTCAGGTCATCAACTGCTCCTGGAGGACATTTTAGTAAAGTCAGTAACTCCAAGGCATCCCTGTTTGTCACATCACCTGGTTGGAAATAACTCTGGCTTTCTTGGGACATGGATAGCTTCTTACACAACAAAAGACGCAGCTACGTCATTTTCTTTGTATTTTACAGCTATGCTACCCCTGTATAATGGAGTCTGTCTGTGTCTTGTTTCCAGGGCACAACCATATTAGTATCCCTGACATCTGTGCTCCATGATGACAAAGAATTTCCCAGACCTGAGACTTTCGACCCTGGCCACTTTCTAGATGACAGTGGCAAGTTTAAGAAAAGCAACTACTTCATGCCTTTCTCTACAGGTAAGCGCAGTGCATTTCCCTGTGAATATCAAGAGACATGCACTGTGGGAGATCATCAGGAGGGGCACCTCCTGCTTGCTCACACCTCTGTGCACGACTGAGGGCCTCACTTCCAACACCTAAGCACGTGTGTGCTCGTGATATATGGGTGGGGCCTTAATTTTTCTTTTTATAACTCCCTTCCACATCATACAAGCTTGAGTAAGTTGTTTGTATTTTCCTTTATTTGCATATGTGGATACCATCATCTCTTCCAAGAAAGCAAAGCTCTATTAAACTTTCTTCACCCAACAGGACAAAAGTGATCTAATCACAATGTGATTATTTTCTCTGTGATATTATTGTTCACCCAGAGAACAAGCAATGGATACTTTGTTTACCTAAGGAACCGGGTAGCACCAGAAGCCTCACTCTCTCTGTGTTTGCTGTAATATTAGAGCTGTGGGAGAATTAAGCACAGATTGGTGGGTAGAGTGCCTATGGGAGAGAAGAGCTGCAAGCTTCATATCTCAATGTGAGACATAAGCACAAGCAAGCAATAAGCTGGTAGTATAAATTATTATCTAAGCTGAAAAGAAAGGGTTAAAAAACCCTTAAAAATCATATATTATAAAGTGGAAACTTCACGGCAAGGGGTAGTTTAGTGAAAAGTACATTTGTTTGGTGCTATAAAAACAGTCTGTGTTGAGGAGGTCAATGCAAGTGGTACAAAGGAACAGAGTGTAAAACCCTGCTGGATTATTGAAAACAGAGTACACAGGAAAAGTGTAACTTTTTTTAAAAAATGTAATTGGTACACAGTCTCAGTACGGAGCTTTCACTCATAGTGAGCCACCTGTTTCTGCCTCCAGAGCACTGATACTACAGATGTGCACCACTGCTGTTGCTCTTAGCAGTCTGCTCCACGCATCCAGGGGTGGGACCAGGGTGGTGCCAGGGATCAAACCCTGAGCCTAAGCAGGCACTTAGTCTGCTGAGCTATCTCACTGGCACTACGAGAAGCGTAACTTTTTCAAGGAAAACTAGGGTGTTAAATTGAGATGTCATGATAATTTATAATGGAGGAATATTTAGTAATATGTGGGCATAAAGCTAGTACTCAATACCTATTTTTGAATTATGTACACTATTTAAGTTCATATGTTGTATGGGTCGCTGACCTGTCCTGTATTGCATATCTAGTTGTCCATCTAGTCATCCATCCATCCATCCATCCACCCATCTAGCCATCTATCCATTTATCCTTCTGTCCTTGCTTCTTAGAGCAACACTTACACATGAGGACTAACTATAATATTTTTTTATTTTTAGGCAAACGTATTTGTGCGGGAGAAGCTCTGGCCCGCATGGAGCTGTTTTTGTTCCTGACCAGCATTTTACAAAACTTTAATCTGAAATCAGTGGTTGATCCAAAGAAGCTGGACACCACTCCAATTGCCAATGGGCTTGTCTCTGTCTTGCCCTCATACCAGGTCTCCTTCATTCCTGTCTGAAGAAGGGCAGGCCGCCTCGTGGTTCTGTGACTTCATCAGGCATCTGCTCCTCTGGAGCATAGGCTACTCTTTCCCCTGTTTTGCATGGCTTCACTGATAATTCCTATTCTGTCTTCCCATTGAATCAGGATGAAAGAAACACAAAAGTCCATTGTGAAAACTTGTCCACATTAAACTGCATGCTACTGTCTATATTCTTCAATGGAAATAAAAATAAATTTGTATCCCAAAAGGCCTACCTCAAAACTATAAAGTCACAAAAGGGAAGATGTTAGAACAGCTTTCTGGAGTCCTAGCCAGGCCCAGTGAGTGTGTGGGAGAGCTTCTAGCTACCCTGTGCCAGCGGGACCTACTGGTCCCAGTCCAGGCAAAACGTGGATGAGACCCTCTTCCACCCCCTTGGGACAACCACCCACCACTCCGCAGCACCTCCCCCACCTTGCCTGACAAGTAGGAATTCGTGCCAAGTTCCAGGAACCCCCAGACCTAGTCCTAGCCCAGGCCCGGTGAGTGTGTGGGAGAGCTTCCAGGTACAATGCGCTGGCAGGACCTTGGTCCCAGCACAGGCACAGCGTGGGTTACACCCTCTTTCACCCTCTTGGGACACCCCCACCACTCCATAGTACCCACCAACAACCTGTCCACAGAGTATGAATAGCTGTCCTTGCTGGGAACCCCCAGATCCAGTCCTAGTCCAGGCCTGGTGAATGTGTGGGAGAGCTGCCTCTCCCCCCTACTCCACCTTGTTCCCTTCACACGCAGCTCAGGTTTGGCATACTGGCCTGCAGTGAAAACCTTCAGCTGCAATCCCTGCAGATAGTGTAGGGGACAGAAACACCCAGCTAGACCAGGAGCAGAACATCTTGGAGAGGGGCACAACAGGTTCACCCCCAAGGGTGGCAACAGGAAGGAACTGAGCACAGCAGACAGACACAAGCCAGGGACAGCCAGATAAATCCAAACTTTGTAGATCTAAAACTGAACTTCAGTATGTGCTAAGGCTATAACTGCAACAAAGATCTACAAGAAAGGTCAAAAGACAGTGCTACACAAAATGACAAGGAGAAGGAGCAAAATGCAATCTCAGAACCCAAGCCTACCCATAACAAGTGCAGAGGACACTAACACAGAAGAAATTGGGAATCACACAGCTGAAAGCAATGAATCAATGTCTTCTGAAATAAAGAAACAGCTGCAGAAAGGTATAAAGGAACTCAGATTGGAAATAAAAAAAATCCCTGAATTAATATCTTCAGTAAAGAAACAAACGCAAACACATATGAAGGAAATCCAAAGCACACTCAGAACAAGTGCAGAGGACACTAGCTCAGCTCAAATGTATGAATTAACAGCATTGATAGTAAATAAGCAACAGCAGAAAGTCATAGAGGAACTCAGAGCAGAATTCTTTTCTGAAATAAAAAAGAATTCTTAGAACTCATAGCATCTGAAGTAAAGAATCAACTACAGAAACATAGGGAGGAAAGCGAATCTAAAAAAAGCACTGCAATAAAAGAATTTGTAACTGCTTTTAAAGAAGACATTGATAAAAAAAATAGAGGAGATTAGAAAAATAATGGATTCCTTGAATGAGCAATACAGGAAAGAAATAGATTACATGAAACACAGTCAAAGAGATATAGAGCAAATAAAAATCTCAATCACAAGCTCACAAAACCATTTGTGTGAAAGTGAAGAGAGAGTTTCAGATCTTGAAGATGCTGATGCAGCTAGTGAAAAGGTAAGGATCTCTTACAAACAACTAGAATGCAGGAAAAATAATCCATCACCTGCAAGATGATGCAAAGATGAACAGTGTGAGACTAATAGGCATCAATGAAAAAGGAGTCAATACAAATGACATGAAAAAATATGGGCATATTTGTTTATCAATAAAATTATGGGGAAAAATATGGACAGAAGTAATAGCAGAAAACTTCCCAAATATGAGGAAACATCTGATATTCAGGTAACTGAAGCATACAGAATGCCAAGTAACCTCAACCCAATGAAAGACACACCTAGACATAAAATAGTCAAGATCCCAGAAAATCAGCACAAGAATAATATACTGAGAACCACTAGAGAAAAGAAGCAGATCACATTCAAAGGAAAACCCATCAGAATTACAGCTGACTTCACAAACCATGAAAGCAAGAAGAGCATGGAGCAGAGTACTTCAAGTGCTCTATGAAAACAAATTCCAACCCAGACTACTATATCCTGCAAAGCTCTTTCAACTTTGATGGAGAAGTGAAATACTTTCATGAAAAAGAACAGCTAAAGAATTTCATAATGACAAAGCCAATCCTACACAGGCTCCTGAAAGATGTCCTAGAGAGGGATGAAAATAATCAGAATTCCAAGAATGAGATCAGAAGCAACCAACTAAATAGAGCAAGCAATTAAAAACAGGAGAAAAAGGAGTGAATGACCACAGGTAAATAACATGTCAATCGTAAGTCAATACATCTCAATTCTAACCATCAAAGGACTCAATTCACCAATTAAGAGAAATAGGCTAGCACAGTGGATTAGGAAACAAAATCCAACAATATGCTGTATACAAGAAACACATTCAACTCATAAAGACATTCATAGGCTGAAAGTCAAAGAATGGACTTCAAACCAACAATGACCAAGTGAAATAAAGAAGGCCACTATATACTGGTTAGGGGAAAAATTGAAGAGGAAGAGGTAACACTCATAAATATGTATGCACCAAACACGGGAGCACCCAACTGTATAAAGCAAATCTTAATGGACATGAAAAATCTAATATCCAATACCACAATTTTAACAGGAGACCTTAACACACCCTTATC